GTATATATATATATATATATACTATATATATATATTGGTTATTTTATCTCTTTTTTTTCCACTGTTAATATGTTATTCTTATTCGCTTTTTATAAATAAAATTACTTTCAAATCTTTCAATATACTCCTCAGTTCCTTTGAAGGTTTTAGACAAGTTTGTTAATTTTTAACCACGTGGTGATAGCTATGTAGTTTAAGAGAGACCATTTAAATATATTTCTATCTTTGTTTTGAGAATGATTTTCAAAATTAACACCAATTAACTTAAGATTATTGATCAGAAATAAAATCACGTGGGTATAACTCATACATTGAATAAAAAAAGTAGATACATCACACATACACAATAAGCTAAGTCTTCCTCTTTTTAGGGTTTAAGAAGGTAAGTATACTTTCTGACAGGATCGGCCTTGGGGTGGGCGACGTGTGGCCCCAACCCAAGGGGCACCAAAATTAAATCGCAATTAGCGGTTCTTGTCAGTTTTACAGGGGCAGGGTCGCCGAGTACAAAGTTCGCACAGGCCACAATTTTGCCTAGGGCTAGCTCTGCTTTCTGGAAGCGCTCGGGTCATCGGTTTCTTTTGGTTGATTCACCACCTTATTCCTATTATACAACATCATCAGTGTAATCTTTATGATGAATGATTGTTCCGATAAAATATTTTATATAGTCTGAAGGTTATTTATTACCTCTTATTTTACTAAACACATTCAGTACTAAAACAGGAGTTTAAGGAAATATTTAAAAGCATCTATCTCATTTAAAACAGCAATATCATACCTACAAATTATATCACATCCAGGTTTTACCTAGCAAATGATTACATCAATAGCCATAAAAAAATGAAAACTCCTCACTGTTAAAGCGTTGTGTATTCTTTTCATTTCTTCTTTTCTTAGATTTTTTTTTGAGTGGCTATCGTGAGACTAGATCTAACTAGGTCAACACGTAGTTCAAGTCTTATGCCCAATCAACGAGATTTTGTAGCCTCGGGTGCCGCGTTTGATTGCGAAACGAGTGTAGTGCTTTCCAATACAAAGTCGAGTGAGTGACATCCATAAAAACTATTTTGATCTATTTTGTGGGCCATTCTAGACATTAATTCTTACAAACTGACTGGACTCGATTCAACTAATTATAATTAATTCAACTAATTATAATTTTCTTTTTATACATGAATATCATCCTTAAATAAGGAGATTTATTATAGACTCAACAAGAAACACAACGAATATGATAGAACTCTTGTGCCCTGAATATGAATAAGCTGAGGCCAAGCCATGTAACTAAGAGGCTTTTATGCTCATGTCTTGCACCTTGAATACTGCCATTTTCGCTCGTATCACATACAGGGTCATTACGAAGCTTTCAAAATGTTAGATTCACCTATCAGTGAACCTAGAGTCGGATCACAGAGTTGTCCAAATTGGTGGGAATGCGTGAATTTCTAGAACAAGTTTGCAAGTTTCTGATGGTAAACATGACTGTTTTATTCGTTTGGAGGTCTAGCAAGAAAATGTTTTTTTAACAAGCCAACGTGTGCAATCCTTCTGATTTTATTTTAATTCCTTAACCCTGGACAACAACGGGACATGTATTCGTGTAATTATTTTCATATAGAAATGTTTGATTTTACAACAGCATAAAAAACCAAAAGAAAAAAAAAGGCAAAGATTTAATTCGTATTTTAAGCAAACTGAAAATGAATCTTGATCTTAAGCCAGTATATAAAAGTAAAATAACTATTTGTGATCACTAATTATTCCTTGTTACCGTATAACAGATATTAAAGTTACCTGCAGACCAGGAAGTGTGTGTTAAATTGCTAACCAACAATATTAGTTAGGGTTAAGTTTGTTTGTTTCGGATATTAGCGTAAAGCTACACAAGGTTATCTACGCTAGCAGTCCCCAATTTTGAACTGATGGACTACAGAAAATACAGTTAGTGAATAGAACCCACCACCGGATTTGAGTTACTATAATTGAATAGTCGGATCTGACCATTACTTTTATAATGCACCCATGGCCCCAAAGTGCGGAATATGATTTTTTTTCTTAAGCTTAAAAGACGCGAACCATATACTTTTGGGTGCATTATAAGAATGACAATCAAATCTCATTATCCAATTAGAGTAGCCCACGACTTAGAGGTGGGAGATATTGAATAGTTGCCTTCCTTCTAGTCTATCACTTCAACATTAAGGACGAATAGCGCAAACAGCCATTAAGTTGCTTTGCACTCAATTCAACAAAACAAACTTAAATTTATCTGGAAATATACAATAGCTCTTAGAAATAGTTCAACAATTATGTAATTCATGTCTCTGGACGTTATTTTAGCAGTTCTATACAAACTACTTGAACAGAATTACTGTAGGTCAAGTATAATTAAAAGCACGTGCACCGTACAGAATAAAAGTTTTCTATTTCTCGGAGAATTGGATATCATAGGTATAAATGAACAAAAGAAAATAAAAACATTTTAAAGCAAATATGGAATGCACATTTTACAGCAGTTTTGTAATTGAGGTTTGGTGGCGTCCTATAGTGATATTGTACTGAATATTTAGGACTGAACTTTACTAAATTGTATGCAGTTTTTAAGTTTCTTCAAGGAAAACGCATTTGATATATATTGTTGCGTCAGCGAGATCCCGTGACTATTTTGACGCCACCTATTTTCTAGAAGTATCTTGTTCCTTCGTGAA